GGGCCTGGTCGGAGGGCTCTTCACCTACGTCCTGTTCTGGACCTTCCTCTACGGGATGGTGCACGTGTACTGAGCATCCTCGAGCCGCCGCGGGGCACGGAGCGGGAGGACTGTTGCCAAAGGTCGCTGCACGCCAGGCCAGCTCACCTTCCACGCTGCTGTTCGTGGCTCGTGTCGTTCATGCTGTCTGTAAATTATGCCCCAGTACATATTAATCAGTAGCACTGTTCTAATTAAACTGAATGTGAAGCACTGCTGTGTTTGTTTGTTTGTGATTTCATCATCATCGTAGATTTCTGTCCCTAAGCTCGACTAGTGTAGTCCCTTGTATCCTTTGTGTTTTGGGTACAATCCCCTCTGGATTTGCTGCTTGTCCCTACACACAAATACTGAGGGAGCAGTGTGTAACACAGCACTCTTAAAAATAACCCGTTGACACAAGGAAATAATGTAATTAACTATATGTAAAGGTTTGGTATGGAAATACAGTTGAGTTGCTAAGGCAAATGTTCTCTTAGACATGAGCTATCTGTACTATGAATAAATGACGTTGTCACAGATGCTTTTCTGGTCATCAGAAAAGCCACTAAATGATGTTCTCACAAATCACTTTGCCCCTTTTTAGTCCTGTTGTGTGCAATGAAACACACAGAACCAACACACCTGTAAGCCTTGGCACTTTGTGTGGTTCACCAGTGTATTGTTGTGGTTCTAGATCTCTTTGGCAGAAGCAGAGAGGACAATTCAATCACCCACACACAGGTAATACCATTCCCATAGACCTGCGCCTGGAAACTTATTGTTCAGCTGATTTACTTCCACCAAGAGAAGGTGATTTTTGCAACCTGAAAAACACTGAGTCTTGCAGAGCATTGCCCTAAAGTGACACATTCCATTGCTGTAAATTCAATACAAGGAGAAAAAAACAAACCAAACTCAAGAAAAAAGGTCCTGAGAAGGAATCTGGTTATGTTTTATTACCAGCAGGGGTTGTGGGAATTGTGTTAAACAATATAAAGAAGGGAAACATCCTAGGGAATCTGGGGAGCCTGAAGACTTTAAATCAGGAAATGCCTTTGGTCCTCTCCTAAGAGGATGTTGCTTTGTCAAGGTGAAACAAAGGTTTCAGCAAGCACAGTCAGCTTTGCACATTTTGGTGGGCTCCTTGGTCTCCATGGGGTGTGCCATGCCCTGATGTCACATGTGGAGTTCACCACGTGTTTCACCATCGAGAAGTTGCTCAATTCAGCTCTGACAGTCGAAAGCCTGAGCTGTGTTGGTAACTCTAGAAGGCCTGAGTAGTGCAGTTCCACACATGGTGACTCATGGAGGGACTTGTGGCATGAAGAGGGAGGAGGCTTTGGATGAGATTAGAGCGTGAGGTAACACAGCTTATCCTAAGTTAACTCCGCTGTTTGATTCTCTTTTCTAGCTGCATTTTTGACCTGCCTTGCTGCAGGTCCCTGCTCTGCTGCTGTTCCCTGCCCTGTGCAGTTCTCTGGGCCAGGGCAGCAGGTGAAGCAACTGGGCCCAACCATGTGCTCCATGCAGAGCTGGGCAGGACCTGCTCCTGCCGTTCCTGAAGCAATGGAGCACCTTGTGATGGCTTTTCCCAGAGGAGCACCCACCCTGCCACAGGCCCTGCAGGATAACAGCCCTTTCCCCAGCTCAAATTCCATATTTCACTGCACTTCCCAACCAGAGCAGTCCTGCTGCTTCACACCTGACCTCACACGTTGCATGAGGGAGCTGGAAGTGGTGTCTGCAAGGCAGCAGAGCAGGAGATGGGTTGAATCTCAGCCTCAGCCCTTCCCAAAGTGCCAGTGGTGGTTCCCATCACAGCTCTTCTGCACATGGAAGCAAAGCACAGCCACAGGATAGCACTGGCTCTTGGCATAGGTACAGATATAGCTATCAGTGGATATAAAAACATTCATTTGGTGCCTTCTTTGTCCTTTTATAAAATCCTTTTATAAATCCACAGTGACGACAACACTGCTGCAAACTCAGGATACCAGAGAAATCTCAGGGAAGAAGGACAGTCTTTATAGGACTTTTCCTCTGGGAATCCTGGTAATAGTCAGTAGCCCTGATCTGGGGTATCTCCTCCTCCCAGTGCTGGTGTGATTTCACACCTGTGTGGCTTTCCTGGAGCACAAGTCCAGCTGGCAGAGCCATCGCTGTGCCTAGAGCCCATCGAGCTGCTCTGGGCTCTGATTCCCATTCAGTGAAGGGCTGGAAAATGACTTCCTGGAGCTGGACCTGGGGAAACAAGCACAGGTGACAGACAGGGTAACCAGGCTATTTTGGGGCTGTTTTGCAATGTGGACAAGAGGTTCCCAGCCAGGCCTGTCACTCCTTGCCCCAAAGTCTGTCACTCACTGACAGACAAAGCCCCAGCTTGCAGTTTTATAATGCTCTGGAGCTCTTGGAGCTGCCCCAATTCCACCTCAGTCATTAGGGACTGACAGCACAAGGCCATTGACAGTCCAACCATGACACAGCAGCTGCCTCTGCTCCCCAGCTCACTGCAGTGATAAGTGACAGAGGGAGGCAGTAACGTGGCCAGACTCATTTGGAGGAACACATTTCCCTGGAATTAGCCTTTTTCTGCCATTAACAGTTACTGTGCTCCTATATCTCCTCCTATTTCTATTCTCAGGACATTTAACACAAAGCCAATGCTACTTACTTTACTTCCTCATACTTTTTGCCTCGATAAAAGTTACTCTTCTTGATCAGATAGATCAGCACCAGGTCACAAAAGAAAGCTCCCTGCAAAGAGAAAGAACTTGGGTTTTATCTTTGGAATAGAAGAGAGTGTTCTGATCTTGTTAGCAATGAGCATCAGTGAAATAGTTACTTGTAGGAGCTGTATTTTCCTTCTCTCCATGCATTTTGTGGGGTATATATGTTATATACCCCATGTGTGTGTATTTACAGTATCAGGTACATTACAGACACACACCTGACTGAGCAGTCAGAGTAGCAAAGACTCTACGGGAGAATATATAACCTCCCCATCCCATTTCTCTCCCTTCCAGCTACAGGAGGGGTCTGGGGCCCAGAAGTTACTTTTAGACAATCCATTCACTTACAGCTCCCATGAGTGCCAGCCCCGAGCTGATATTGATAATGGTGGGGATGATGTTAAATTTCCCTGCCTGAAAAGAGAAAAAGCCGTGAAGTACTCAGTGAAAGGTCAGCCCAAGAAGCAAACTGAAGGGTGTGGCAGTGCACAGGGGAGGCTGCTGGGCCCTGTGGATGTGTTCTGCTAGCATTCGGGAGCCCAGCCACAACCAGTCAGCAGTCTTGGATGCTAAAGGTCTGTGTGTCCCAGATCCAACTGTCCTTGGCTGCATTTCTGAGCTTGCATCATTCCTGCATTAGGCTTCTTTTTTTTTGTCTGCAGTGCATACACATGGAAAACAAGGCTCTGGGTCACATTTCCTTCTGTCAGGCCTTACATGAGCCTGGCTGTAGGTTGAGGTACAGGCTCAGCTACACTCCAGGTCAGCTCCTCTTTTATGTAGGGTTAGCTCCACATGGATGGATAGCAAGAGCCTCTTCCAAGGCCAGCCAGAGAGGCTGACAATCCCAGAGCTGCCCTCTCACTGACAAATATCCCCACCTTTTTTCCCTCCAGTCTCTGAAACATTCTGGCCTGGGCCTCACCTTGCCATTCACCATCACATCAAAGCGGATTCCGTAGGCTTTAATGAGCGTCCGGTAGTCGACTCCCTCAGCATCCCGATAATACTTGGCAAACCTGAACACAACAATGCTGAGTTTACCTCCATTATCTGCCCCTCCACACACACTAGAACCCCTCTGAAATCATTTATCTCTTCAAACAGATCATTTCCCCTACCAAAAGCAGCTTTAGCCTGCCAGGAGCACAGCCCCATCCTCCCTCCTCTGCAGAGCTCCGTGCTTGGCCGGGGCAGTGCCTGGCACAGGCTGATGCCACTCCACTCCCAACCTCCAGTGCCTGTGAGTCAAACCAGCCCAGCCCAACTGCAGTACTGATTGTGTCCTCCTCTTTACCCACCTGAAGTTGTAGCCAGAAGTGATGGAGGTTTCTGTAGACTTGTTATCCAGTCGGCTAAAAGAATAGTGAGGATTACATTCAGAAGGAGCTTTATCAAGATCACAGTTCCATTCAATCTGAATTCCTATCACACCACCCTTAATGAAAGAGAGAGACAGGGTGAGTTGTTTAAGCTTAGTTCAGTTAAAATGTCTTCAAATTTGTCAGATCCTTGGGCAAGTTTTCCCCAGGGACAAGAATAGCTGCACTTCTGGTCACTGACAGGAGCACACACAGCCCTGGATGGGCTGAGCTCAGGTGTGTGATGTCAGTCCCATTACTCTACACACAACCCTAGCTATCCCTGTGCTGGCATCCAAGGAAAAGGTTTCTCATCCCAAGACACTGATTTCATTAATTTAAGTGGCTGTAACATACTCCAGTGGAGAAGATGATCTTTTATGCAGGGATGGAGTTCCCAGAGTTCTGGGTTTAAACTAAGAGTGTAGTAATGTTGAAATTAAACCAAGAATCCCTGGGCAGCCCTGAGTGACACATACCTGACCAGCTCTTTCAGAGGACCCACATCACCCTGCCTCCCATTCCCAGGGGATGGAATAAACAGGACCAGGTTGACTTGAGGCACTGGCATCTCTCCAGGCAGTTCCCTGGGCAGTGGCCAGTGGATGTGCTTACAGCCACCCAGCACAGCCAGCTGGGAAGACACATGAGCCTGAGGGACACTCCTACCTCCAAGGCCATTTCCTGGAAGTTGGCCCCAGCCCTCTGGACGATGTTCCCCAGGATGAAGATGGGGCAGTAGGGATGCTCCTTGCTGTAGCGACAGGTCTTCAGGTAAGACTCGTTGTCAGTGGCCAGCACATTCATCCTGCGTGGAGGGAAGAGAGAAACCCACCTTGTCTCCCTGTTGTTCACAAAGCAGCAGAAAATGCAAACAAATTTGCATTTTTCCCAGCCTTGTCCAGGAAACTCCATTTGTATGGAAGAGGATGAATATCTGTTGAACAGAAGCAACTCAGGAACCTAACTGTGCTCTGTCTGGCAGACAGATCCATCTGCCTTAGGACCTGTGATGCATCCCAAGCTGTAGGAACCACCACAGACCTCATTTGGGGAGGGACAGCCTTATCCCAGTTGCTCCCTGAGTAGTTCCAAGTCCTCATTATCCCCTTGTTCCTGCACATCCTGAAGCCAAAGGCTTTCCCTTAGAGGACAGAATACTCACTTGCCCACCCCAACCCTCTGGCAGGAGAAGGTCAGTGGAACAAACCAAGGTTATTGGTTCTGTGGTGGAGAGGACAGAAGGATCTCCAAGCACCTGCACTTACTTGGAGAACTTAAACTTGGGGAAGCGAATTGAGTTCTTGATGTAAACAGTGAAGTTTTCTGCGCTGCCAAGAAGAGGTTTCCTGGAAGAGAAGGGTTTGTTCTCTGTTTTACTTTTGTACCCTGCCCACATGCTAAATCTTGGATAGAAACAGCTTCATCCAATATGTTTCATCCCATGGTGCCAGGCCAGCCATGCCATTGTCCCCACACTGCCAGCAAGGAGGTGGTGGGGAACGTGCAGGTTGAGGGGATGCCCCAAGAGCTGGGAACAGCCCTGGGACAGCCAGTGAGCTAAGCAGGGGGAGCAGAGGGCCAGTCCTGCCAGGGAGGGCTTTGCAGAGCTTCCTCCTGCACTGAACAGCCAACATTCAGCAAGCATCCAAGCAGAGGGAACACAGAAACTGCCCTGAGTGACACACAAGCCAAGCAGCTCAAGCTTGGAAACGGGATAGGACAGCCACGTACTTGGGCTTGGATCTTTTCTCCACTGGGCACCAGGCCAGTATCTCACAAGTCCCTCTGATGCTGTCCCTGTCTTTCAAACAACGGCCAGTCTTAACCCCTGCGAGCAGACATCACAGAAAAGGTCACACAGAGCAGTCACCTCCTCTTCTTGCCTACAGGGCACATGAAAATAGATTTTCTCCCTCCTGCCTGCTGTGAAAGGGCCTCTCAGCTGGAACAAACACTCTCTTGTTGCTTCTCTGAGCAGCCTGGGGTGCCCTGGCCCAGCCATGGCAGAGCTGTAAGCAAGTCAGCATTCTTAATAAAAGATAGCAAAGAAAAGAAAGGCCTTGCTGCTCTCTGAAGTCAGAGATCTCTGGGGGTGTAACCAGGCTGAGGCCTCTGGAGGAACAGGACTCCACTAGACACAGGACAGGAGAAAGGATCTTTCCCTTACCATTGCCAGCCACCACTGCTTTCCCCTCTGGGCAGTCCTCATCCATGTAGCACAGGGCATCAGGAATGCTGGGACTCTGCAGAGGGCAAGAGGACAGAAGTGAGACCTGTGAGAGGACATGAGACCCAGAGGAGGGGTAAGAAAGTGCTGCTGATGTGGGGTGAGTTCTCTGCAGGATGGTGAACACTAAAAACATGCAGCTGACGTGGGAACTGTGGGTCATGCAAACAGCTCAGCATATCACACCACTGAGAACACCAGGATTCAGCCATGAGGTCCTGAGTTTGGGTTCTGCTCAGTCTGGAGAGGGACAGGACAGGCTGTGAAAACCCCAGACAATACCTCACACTCACCTAACCCAGACAGGAGGTCACAGTACACGGAGAAAACCCAACCTTGCATCTAAGCTGCAAGCTCTGGAGCCCAAAATTGCCCTCTCCCAGCTGCTCTGCAGCCACTAGAGGACAGCCGTGCCGTGAAGGAGCAGCTGTGCTCCTGGCCAGGGCTACCTGCTTCCTGCACACGGAGACAACACACTGCACAGCCAGCCCTCTCCTCCCCCAGGCTCCAGCCCACTCCAAACCACATCTCCACAGAGGACGTGCCACATGACACAAAGACCCTTGGCCCATCTGGCATGTTCTGGAGAGGTGTCCGGAAAGTAAGGAAAGCCCTTCCCGGGATGAGGCTCTTAAAAATTTCCTCTACCCAGAGCAACACTGAGTCACCTCAAAGTTGTTTTCCCACAGCCTTTTCTGCCCCTGAGCAATCACTGCCTGGTCTCCTCTCCAGCTGGGCAGAAATCCAACACCTTCCTCTCAAGTCAGGAAGGCTCTACATGATCAGTGCCTCAGGAAATTAAGTCAGCTGAGCTCCAGGTTTACAGTAGCCAATCTTATTTCCCAAGTGAAATATTACACTGCAGAGCAAAACCGTTCGCTTTTCATCCTCCCTCTGTCGGTGGCTCCCCAGGTGTCCTCTGTCAGTTCTTACCCCCTGTGTTGTAGGGGTCTGGGAGCCAAGGGGCTCAGTTCTTCCTACCTCAGGACACGTGGCTTGCCTCTGGTTTGGGGTCACGATCAGATTCGTCATGACAAAGAAGACACTTTCACCCTGGAGAAAATAAAGTAAAGCAGGAAGGATTAGAAAACCTGAAGCACCTGTTACAAGAGGATGCAGCTCTCTGGAAGAACACAACCTCCCTCTTTCCAGAGGCTTTTCAGGCTGAGATACAACAGTGCCCTTTGTCTGGGTGTTTGTTTGGATGAGGTCCCTCGTGCTGTGGGTGCACACACAACCACGAGAGCCAACCCACAGCCCTGGTGGGAGGCAGAGCAGCCCTGAGCATCTCAGAGAAATCCACACCCACAACAGAGAAGCCTTCCCAACACAGAGCCCTGCCTGTCACACAGAAAAATCAGAGATCCTGGGGTTCTGATCATGGGAGCAGAGCTTGGTGCTCTCACACCCTCCTGGCTCACTCTCCTTCCCTCACTGGGCTTTGCATGGGGTGGATTTACTCCTCATTCCATCAGCACTTTGGGACATCCATCCCTCTGTCCTCAGCAGGAGGGACACATCAGCCAGCAGCTGTGCTGGTGGGCTCAGCAGAGCTGCCCACTGCTCTGTGGAGGAGACAGAGTTTCTCCCAGCCCTCACTGCCTCCTGCTCCACCACTTGGGTCTCTCCAGTGTAAACCAGCCCACCCAGACCCACCAGGACAGCTCATGACTCTTCCTCCAAAGCGAAATGAGATTACACAGTAGTTAGCAGAGCAAGTCACTGAGTGCACTGGGGGCAGCATTCAGGTACACCTCAAAACCCAGGCAGGGTGCAGCAGTTCCCAGCTGACCTGAGATGTGCAGCAGACAAATAGCAGTTAGCCATGGAGCAGGAAAGCTCGTGAGGCTCTACATTAGCACTCACAGCCCCTAGACATTGCTGAGTGTCACCACAGCCCTGTGGTTGCTGGTGGCTGATGCACACTGGGGCAGGATGCAGTAACACTGGTTTCCTGAAGCCACAGCCCAAACAGCTGTGTGGCACAGCAGCCCAGAGGCAGGGCTGCCTATTTTTTACTCAGCCCACCACACTACAAGGCTTCCCAATAAGCCAACATGCAGTAACACAAAATCACAGAATAATCAACCTGACCTGGTTGGAAGAGACCTCAAAGATCATTGAGTCCAACCCTACCGTGGTCACTAGACCATGGCACTAAGTGCCACATCTAGTCTCAGCTTGAAAACCTCCAGGGATGGTGAATCCACCACCTCCCTGGGCAGCACATTCCAATGCCTGACCATTCTCTCTGTAAAAAATCTCTTCCTAATATCCCATCTAAACCTCCCCTGGCAGAGCTTGAGTCTGTGCCCTCTTGTCCTACTGCTAAAGGCCACTGAGACCCAGGAGAAACATCCAACAAGGTAAAATACTGGTCAGTGCCACCATTTCACCTCTGAGTGTGCATCTCAACCACCTGCTAAGTGTCCCAGGGCTTCCACACAGCTGGGACAGAGCAAACACACTGCCTGGGCCTCCTGCTGCATGGCATATGTTGGGCTGAGGCTTTGCACTGAAATTGGTGGAGACACAGAGCAGTCACAGGTGTGAGTAAACACTGGTGCAGCAGGAACAAGGCAAACTTTATTCTTATGCACAGACAATTAAGTTGTTTAGTTTAGAGCTTTCTGCCCTATCAGCACAGGACCTGGATTTTGCCCTCACACCTTTCCATACAGGGCAAGCACAAGTGAGCAACTTCCAACCTGGTGTCAGGGCCACATCTGCTGCCACCCATTCCCTGTGCATCTCACAGTGTCCAAGCCAAGAAAGCAGCAGGGAAGGTTTAACCAGATATTTCCAGCATCCCTCATCGCTCAACTTGCACCACATTTTCTTTCCACCTCCCCCTGCTCCAGACAACCCCATGCACACCTGCTCTAGCCCAGGAATGGAGAGGAGCAGACAGTGCTCAGCTGAGCAGTCCCACCAAAACCCACAGGACTTCTGCTTGCCAGACCTCTGTGTGAGAGACCAGGCAGCTTTGGTATTTGCTGGAAAGACCAAAGACAAAGCCCAGCATTGCTTTCTTGTATCCCACCTCCTGCTCATTCACAGGGAAGACCTGGAAACATCACTTCAGCCTTTCCACACTGGCAGCTGAATGGCAGAGACACTAGCAGTGGGGTGATGCCAACCTGTGGAGGGATGACGTAGTCTGCAACATCCCACAGCCTCTCCCCCAGCTCCGAGGTGTTGGTGAAGGCTACCCCTTTCAGCTTGGTGATGACAGAGCTCTGGAGGGATGTGTCTGTGTCCTGATAGCCTTTCTTGACAACAAACACCCACCTATGTGAACACAGCAGGCAGCAGCATCAGCAAGAGGGGTCAGGGAACAAGTTAATCAGAGGTCGAATAGCATTCAAAAGCAAATCAAAACATGTCAATAACACCAAGTCTGCAACTACCAGTGCAGATACAGAACAAACTCTTTGTCACAAGCTGTGCTTATCTACCTACAGCAGAGAAATGTGTAATACCAAGGCATGGGGTTGAAAAAAACCCCAGTCTTCCTGTCCTGTGCTACACTCAGCGACCACAGAAAATGAAAGGGTGAGGGCAGGACCCTGCCTTCCTCAAGACAACAAACAGCAGAGGCTTCTGCAAGTCGTGGTGAAGAGTGTGGTTGGTTTGACATGTACACAATTCTTCTCTCCCCCTCTAGCAGCCTCTGGTGGGGCCCCCATGGCTGGGGAGGTGCAACTCCTGCAGGCCAGCTGAGTATTCCTCACAGAAACCTGCAGGGAATATCCTCAGCTGAACACAGGATCTTTTGTAAGCCAAACAGCCCGAACACATCCTGGTCTCTGCACAGCTGGGAGAGCTGCTGCCTTGCTAAGCAGTCCAGGGAAAGACTTTGCTTACTTCTCCCCACTGGAAGCACCAACAGTCCAGATCACTGGGTAAAAAACTCTTAAAATGAAATGCTGCCAGCTTCCCCACACCACTGCCAAAATCACCTGCCAGGAGAACACAACACCCAGCCCCTTGAAGAGTCTGAGGGTGCTGGGGCAGGTTTGGGAGAGGATTGCAGCTGCCTCTGCTGGTGATGACAACTGTCTCCTCTTTGCAGTGCACTGCTGTGTGCAGGGAGGGAAAGGGACCACCCCGGGCTGAGCAGCACTGGCATTCACTGCCCTTCACCTGCTACCTGTGGCAAACCTGGAGAATTACATTCCCCATCCCTGTGAAGCTTCCCATTTTCCTGAGAATGCTGATCTCTCCCAGGAGGGTTCACACTCAGTCCCTTCATTTTCCGCAGTGAATGGGGGTAGAAATGGCAGCTGTGTGCAAGGAACCATGCAGAGGGGTTGGATGATTCCCACCCTGGCCAGGCACAGGTCCCTGACCCAGCAGGCAGACACAGCCTGACACTGAGCAGGGCTGTGGTGACCTGGAAGCCACAAACAAATCACTGCAGGGATAAGTGAGAGTGCTAAGGGTTTGCAGAAGGCAATAGATGCTGAGAGAGGAAAACAGCCAGACTGGCCACCCACAGCCACTGGTCGTGTTATATCCCTCCTGGACAGAGGATGTGTCCTCAGCAACCTTATCCACAGGATTTCTCCTTCAGCAGCTAGTCCATGCCAGACTGCTGAGGCTTCACTTGTGCCCTGCTCACTAAAGCAAGGACTGCACACCTGTCTATAAATAAATCCAGCAGGCAAAAATGACCTTGCTATATTTAATCAGGGAAAACACGAGGTGTGAGCAAAGCGAAAGGACTCAGAAGCACAGACACTGAGGCTACAGACTGTGGCATCAGAGTCTGAAAATCCTCAGAAACTCAGGCAGCACAGGCACCAGCACAGGCTGGATAATTCCAGCTCTGAGCCCTCAAGGTCTGTGGCTGTGCTCCTTACACAGCAGTGTGAACAGCCTCTTGCAGAACTGGGCCTTCCCGAGTGGTGCTCCAGCTATCTCCATGCCAACTCGCCCTGCTCTGGAATGAAAGCGAGGCAGTGACATTAACACTGCCTCAGCCCCCACAGTCCTGGCTGCTGCAGCCCATTCCAGCCCCAAAATCTCCCACTTTCTGCAGGGTTCCTTGTCATTTAGGCTTGAGCATGTCATGCAGGCAACCCAGGTGCTTCCCAAGGCTCAGCACAGTGGCCATAAATGCTATTTTCCTAACGAGTCAGGTGCTCAGGTCTGGCACCATGCCCACCAAAGACAGAAATAAAGGCATAAATAATGCAGTACAAAGCCCTTGTGCCACTGGGTTTATTTTTAACCTGAGGCTAATCTGCAAGGTAGAGCTGAATCTAGTGATCCCTAGGTGAAAAATCCGATATAATCTATTTGCTGTTACAAAATCCAGCTGTTAAATGCCTAATTATCTGCATTAAAATCAGGAGGCACAGCAAGCTCTGTCTGCAGCACTAATCTGTATCACAGCACAGCAAGCAACCCCCAAGCACAGCTATATGTGAAAGAAGCAATGATCTTACCCCACCAGGTAAGCCAGGACGGAGAGCTGCACCACTCGGTAGAGGATCCCAACCTTCTTGTTCTTGGCAATGACGTATTTCTCCGTTTTATAATCAAAAAGGGAGAGAAAGAAAGCCTTCCAGGCCACCTGCCCCATGCTCCTGGCTCGCTGTGTGGTGGTGGCTGGAGCACAGCAGGGTTTGCAGCTCGCACTACCCACACGTGCTCTGCATGGAAACCTGACACACCAACCCTTCAGGAGGAGGCTGATCTCCTCCCTCTCATCAGCTGCTCTCTGCCAGCAGCTCTCTGGTCACACACCAGCAGCTGCACTAAGATGAGATACTTCCTGAGCTGTTTTCCAGCTGGTTCATCTCCCTGGGAAAGCCCCCCCTGCTTCAGTTTTGCCCCCAGGCTTCACTCTGTCCCCCACAGCCACAAGGAGAGTAGAATGAAGCAGGTAGAGCATGAAGTCATGTTGCAGCATCTCAGGGAACAGAGCTATAGCTTCTCAGTGTTAAAGATTAAAGCCTTTCCTCAGCCTTTACAGGATGCCAAAGCACTAGGTTAAATTTTTGGTCTGGTTTAGGAATTATTCCCCAATTTAGTGTTCCCACTGAAACCCTGCAGATCATGCACTGCTCACTCCCTCCCTCACCCCCTGCCCCTGCAGTGGGATGGAGAGGGGACTTGGAGGCACTGGTCAGGGGCTGAGGTAAGACCAATTTACTAAAAAGCAGCAACAAAGTAAGAAAATGAACAGTACCCAACTGTGTCAGTAACAGAGTGTACAAGATAGAGAAACAGTTCACACATTATCACTCACCATGCAGGACCTGGCACTGCCAAAACACACACCCCAGACACCCCTGAATGGACAAGGGAGACCTCACCCCCTCCATCCTCTCTGCATGGCTGAGGTGGTACAGAATAACCCCAAGGTCCTGCCATGCCCCTCCTGGCTGCTACAACAGTTAACCTTGTCCTAGCCAGAACCAAGACAATTCGTAATTTCCTCAGTGTTTGCATGAGTGATGAGGGCTGAGGTCCTTCACAGTCATCCCAAACACTTGGCCAGACCTCTTCCCACCACAAGCCCAGCCTAAGAAACTAATAAATGAATTCTGCATGTGGTTAAGGATCAAGCACAATGGAAAATGACTTTCTGGAACTTGACCTGAGGAAATAAGCACAGGTGACAGGGTAACCAGGCTATGTTTGGGCTTTTTGCAGCATGGGCAAGAGGTTCCCAGCCAGGCCTGTCACTCCTTGCCCCAAAATCTGTCACCCACTGACAGACCAAGCCCCAGCTTGCAGCTTTGTGAGGCTCTTGGAGCTGCCCCAGTTCTACTCTCAGTCATCAGACAGCTCAAGGCCATTGACAGTCCAACCATGACACAGCAGCTGCCTCTGCTCCCCAGCTCACTGCAGTGATGAATTACAGAGGGAGCCAGTAACTTGGCTGAACTCATTTGGAGGAATATGATTTCCTGGCATTAACCTTTATTTGCCATTAACAGTTACTGTGCTACTGCATCTCCTTTTTTCCCCCTATTAATCATAACAATGAGCCATTACTAGTACTGACCATTGCAGTACTGCCCTACACAACTCTCTTCCCTGGAAGAATCTTCCTCAAGACCTAAGAGTTTATGAAAAATTTGCCCTTCATCCTCCTTAAATTCCATTATTGACTTCAAACAGATGCATCTGATTTTTAATGAACATCTGACCAGGTTGCTGCAAATCACAAGAGAATCACAAACAGCATAATAAGGAACAAAACACTGATTTTATGCCTCATCCCAGAGCCTTCCCTAGAGTTTCTCTGCAAAGCAAAAGAAATCTTTCTCCAGCACCTGCAAAACTAGAACACAAACTTGCTTGTGGCCTCCTTTTAACCTGGTGGCTGCTGCACTCAGCTCCAGCCACGACTGCTCCTGCACATGGCTCTGTCTCAAGAGGCCCCTGGGGTGACCAGAGGCTGCTGAGGGAGCAATCCCCTGACTCCCATGCACTCCCCATCCACTCTATCACCTGAGCCCAAGAGGTGGGAGAGGCCACCAGAGCCCCTCTGGCTCAGGGATAGTCCTGATCCTGCTCCCAAACCCTTCAGCCTCAGCACAAGCCAAGGGCTGGTCTTGCTCACCTCTCCCACTGGCCATGATGCCTCCTTTCCCTATCTCCCCTTTTTGTCTCACACAACATGTTGGCTGCTCCCCAAGCCCCTCTTGGAGCCCTTTTTCTCACTCAAGCATCTGTCACTCGTGGTTTCCCTCTTCCTTGATCCCTATTTAGCCATTGTACCACCTCTCCTTACCAGATCCCTACAGACCAGTCTGTCACTAGTTCCAGTCTTAAAGATCCTCTGTGTGAAAGCCTGAAGCACAAAGAAACATACAATAACCAAAGGAGACAAAACTCTCCAAGAAAACACACTCCTGCAGGGAGGAATGAGACCAGGTGGTCCATGAAGCCAGAAAAACACTGTCTGCCTCCTCCATCACTCCTAAGGACTAAGGACACCCAAGTTCATGGACAAATGAAGCATCAGAGGAGACAAGTCAGCCCTTGGTGGTGTCTAAAGACCCTTCTCCTCCTTCCTCATCCATCTGGGTGCCTGCACAGGCTGAAATCAGACCACAAAACCCACCAGCAGTTAAACAGTGTGTTACCTCTTGGCCTGGTTTTACCTCGTGGCACAGACACAGGTTTGCTCTGAGTCTGTGTAGTTATTTTCCAGGTCAGTTAATCTGAAAAAGGACTTGCACAGGTTAGAAAAAAATGTTCCTTAGAGTGAGATCTGTTGTGCTCTAGGTGTGACCTGAAGATGTGAACCAAGTTTGATTGCTAAGATAAAAGATCACATGAAAAAAGAGGATGTAAAACTGATACTTGTCTTGGGGCTTTTTTAGACACCAAGTAAAAGAACAGTTGCAATAGCTGTTTTGGAGTAAAGAGTTTCAATTCATACCAAATATGCCTCAGAACATTTTGAATACTGCTCAGTACAAGCTCAATTTTTGCTGACAATGCTTATACTGAGCTGCAAAAAAACCAATGTAGTTGGCACTTTGCGTGCTCTTACAGATATTGTTCTTAACACTTTGTTTTCACCACCTTATTTTTCTTCTCTTGCCTGGAAATCAAGTCAACTGGTACATTTTTCAAAGTTTCAGTGGGTGTTCCAGCATAAGCAGTTTCACTTGCAGTGGAGGAGTAAATAACCTATCGATCTATCAACAGTTATAAGTCAAAAAGAATGTAGTTTCTCTTAGCCCTTCCCAAGGGACTGAGGCTGGAGCTCCTCTGCAAGGTATCTCCCTTTTTGAGTCCAACACTTTGAATTTCCCATGGAAAAAACCCAGATCTGCTCCATTCCCATGAGAGCTGTTTGCTCAGTCTGGAAATTCTCACAGGGAGGATTTCTCTCCTCCAGGACTGAGCTCCTATTTTTATTCCTGACATCTTACACCTATACTTAATTCCTCAAACTGTTCACAGTAATTGCCTTGTCATTACTCACACGAACTCATAGGATACACATCCCTGTCTGCCCACACTGCACCTCATCTGCTTTTCCCTGCACCTGTCAGTAGCTCTGTGGTGTTAAGCTGCCCTGGAGCTGATCTCAGCACAGTAATAAGCCTGTAAATGACATCTAAAGACACTGTGGAAATTAAACTTTTGACCTGTGCCCTGATCCAGTGGCACTTGAAACACAGCGAGGTCACATCTGTCCCTGTGATACTGAGAAAGATCAAGATGAGCCCAACAATATCCATAAGTTACACCCAAAACACACCACGTGCTTTCCAGGCATTGTCAGGCAGCCCTGGCCAGGACAGTCATGATTCATGAGTGGCTGCTGGAGGTGCCTGGTTGAGGCACTTATTCATTTCCAGTGCCAAATAATCACCCTCAGGCATCAGTTCTCTCCAATGACCTCCACCCTCACTGAGCTGGAAAGTGGAACAGAAACCTTCACCATCCAAAGGCACAGTGGCCAACTCATAAATGCTGAGATATTTCTCCAGCACTGGAAATGCTCCTACAGCAAATGTCTGAGTGATGCAGATCCATCATCCCCCAGAAACAGGCGCCAGACCAGTTCCTGAAATAGCAGAGAGACAAGGAGCAGAGGATGCAAATAGGAGATAAGCTATTTTGGCAAGGAAAAGAGCACTGGAAAAGGCAGAGGTCAGCGTTCCCCATTAAGTGGTTTCTTCTCATACCGTCATACTCTTAAGTCAACATCTATAAAAAACCCAAGGTGAAGAGCTGAACAGGTTGCAAGAGGAAACTGCTTTTAAACCACAGCTCACACACAGGGGAACACATGGAAATCAGTAATGAGCTGCTCTCTGGAGGTGATGGGTTTGAATGCATGAACAAAGAGAGGTGTGTGCAGCCCACGGTGCAAATACTCTGGGCAGCTCCTCTTGTAACCCTGGCTGTGACTCTGCAGGGTCAATCAGCCTCTGTATTTATCCTCCTAAGTAACACCACAGCACACCCAGCCACAATGAGAAGAGAACTTGTGGAAAGAGTCTTTGTGTCACTACCTACAGGAGCATCCAAACCTGTCTGTAGGCATAAGAAATGGAAGAGCACTGAAGTTCCAGAATATGCTCTGACTTGGATTCAGCTCACCATTTCCAGGAGGGCATTTCTCAGCCTTTGAATGCCTTCCAGGTTGCTTCCCCCAAGTCCTGAGTCTCCTATAGTGTGCAGGAGTGTTCTTCTTATCAGCTGGAACATCTCTCCTCTCCTCCTCTTCCCCAACCCAAGTGCTTGAGGAAGAGGACCAGAGAAGAAGGGAAAATACTGCACTTCTAATGAAACCAATCCATCGGGTGCTGCTCTGTGAGAGCTGGCACCAAACCAGGAAACAGAAATTGAGTGAAAGTACACATCAAACACTGCTAAGAGACTGAGTGCAATGATAGGTGGAGCAGCCATGGTGTGTAGTGCTGTGCTGCAATGTTCTCACCTTCTAAAGTCAGCCAAAAAAGCCTCATTGGGAAATCAGAGGATGTTGAATCAAAGCCTGAAAGATGAATGGGTTTAATAAAATGCGTATTGGCATCAACCACTGATTTAAAAGTGAAACCCTCTCTTGGATATACCTGACACACCAGTATTAACTTCTTTGCCAACACATGTCACTCCTAACCTGGAAAGACATGAAACTGGT